TCCACACAGAATCACCCTCGATTTCCCTGTACCTGGTGACCTAAGCTACACTCCGTCCATCAATCGTGAGACCAAACAAACTTTCTTCCACTGTCCACATACACATTGATTATCGGTCTATCCTCACCTGGAACCGTTAGACCAAACTTCTCCTCCCCTTAATTTTTTGTTATCCCGATGTAATACGTTTTTCTCACGCGAGACTGAGATGTTCACTGTGATATAATGGTCCAGCGCAAAGGGTTTTTCCGCGCGACTCGAAAAGCAACCAGTTACCTATCCACACACGCGTGTGTACGGTGAATTGTATCGGTGGGTGGAACGATATATACGTAAAGGTAGGGTGCACGGAAGGATCTATCTCTGCCGGATAGTCCGGGTGGCTGCTCTTTCTCCGTATCAGGACAGGTTGGTGTGGGTGGACCCCCGGCATAGAAACGGCAAAACACAAGACACGGAGGAACCTAGAGGCGGAGGAGAAGGCAGGAGGAAGAGGTAGTGGCAGTAGCAGGAGGGAAAGGGCAGCCGAGGTAGCGACGTCACCACGGAAATCAAGAGTAATGCCAACACGAAACTGCACTACCCCTCGCACACCCTTGCCAACCTCTCTCCTTTCTCGCTCCATTCGTTCTATACCTTTCTCATTCCACCTCTATCTCGTTCTCTACCATTCTTCCTCTTTGTCTCTCGTTTCTCCATCTCCTTCAACTCTCTCCCTCTCCGTTCCACTCGTTCCTACCGACACTCTTCCCCTTTTGCACGAACCACCCTACACACTACCACCTCCGCATCTCACCTCCAGATCTCACCTACCCCCGGGGAATAACCCCCTTACCGTTTCGTGCTATATGGAGCGGCAGCGGCGAATAGAAGAGCGACAGAAAGCGTACCAAGCGTATATATACGAGCGTGAGCCCGCGACTACGGCTACGCTCGAATCCAGAGAATTCCGTTCCTTCCCGCGTTTCTTCTATTTTTCGCCGCTCTTCTACCACCACCTCGACACCATCCCTTAGAACAGGAGTTCGCCGGGTTCGTGTAGCGCGCCGGAGTAACGCGCGCATCCTTGAAAGCTCGGAGACGATGAATAGGAGAGGGAGGGTTCTAGATTTGTAAAAATAATGCTGCAGGGGAGACAGGGGCCGAGCTGGATGCTGTAATGGCTGAATCGTGTTAAGAAGCTCGCTTATTTGATCCTTAAGGGTTGCTGGCAGGGGTTAAGGGCAGGTTCGATTATTATTGGGTTTGTGATTGAGAGAAACTGTGATTTTTTCGATTTTCACGTTGAAGGTGGCTTTTGTTCGTTGCCTTGGGTTTCTGATGCTCGGTAACGAAACGGTGATTTTTTTCATTTTAATGAACGAAGCCACTTAATATTTAAATGAAGCAGACCTAGGTAATCGTTACAAAATTATGGAAATTTAAAAAAAAATTATTCGTACTAGATATAGTAAAGGAATGTACTAAAGTAATGGGTATCTTAACACTTATGAATGGCAGCATGCATAATTGGTGCTTCGTGAATTAACACTGCAACGAGGAAAGAACTATATTTCATTCAACTCTGATTATTCTAGCGTCGAAGAAATTTCATAAATTTTCAAACAGAATTCTTCCGATTTTAATATCGACGTGCACGATTGGCGCTTCACTTTTCATGGATTACAGAAATTTCATAAATTTCGCTGGATGGAATTAATCACTTTGACTTCTCAAGCGGTTCAATTATAATTTAAATCACGATAAATTGTCTTTTTGCCCCCCATTTACATTTACAGTCTCCTTCGACGTAATTGTTTCGATAATTTCGAACCTCGAAACTTTGTCCCAATTTTTTCCCGTATCGATCACCATTGTGTTTCAGACATTCTCCGGAAAAGTAGACTTTAAAAAGCTTGCCCAAGGTTTATCTGGCAATGTGCGCGGTATTTTTCCTGCGTTCGTAGGGCAATCGATGATCGTAAACTTGCAGAACTGACCTCGATGATCCCGACACGGAAAACGAAAGTGAACTGGTTCCTCGCGAAAATCCCACTCGTGAAAATGTGGCCATTCGTATGATCGGCCGTATCTGTGCATCCCCTATAACGGCTCCCAGAAACGTCTTTTAATATACACTATATCTTCGAAGGGCCCAGAGGATTTCCCTTCGTTCTCCCGCCGGGAAAAATACACAAGTTGCTCGTCTTAAATCCGTCATTATGTGTGTATTAACCTCGTTCCCTTTCGCCACCCTTCTAACGATAACGGACTATACTTCTCTCCTAACATCTTCCACAACATTCCGTTTTATTTATTTCACCGTCGAACAAATTACCGCGACAAAATTATAAGATCGAGGAGTAAAATTATTCTCCGTTTCGCGCTCGATGATTTCCCAGAGCGAGAAATAATCATTTCACCGGACAGAAGGGTGACTGTTCATTTTTAAAAATATTCTCTATAGGAAATCGATACCGGCCGCTGATAAACGTCCAGAAAGAGATATGACAATTTTTTTCTTTTTTTCTTCATTTCTACGGATATTCTTGACCGGTTCGCGAATAGCCCGATCAACGGGACGACAAAAATGTAGGATAACATCCGTCACATTTGTCAAAGAAATTAGACCGAATCCTTGATTTATTTTTAGCGGTGAATTATTTATTCAGACGTGAAGTGATGGTTGGACGGAGGGGAGAGAAATTTTTCGAATTGACCGTGTACGCGAAGAACAAACAGCAGGATGGTTCCACGTCAGAGGAAACGTGCAGGCCGCAGGACGGATCCTCTCCTCGGCTTATATTGCAGCAGATTAAATTAATTTCGTTCAATTAATTGGTAGTTAAGATGTTTAGCGTTAAGTGAAAGAGTCTAGTCCCTGTCTTCCACCCCTATCCCTCGACTCTCTCTCTCTCTCTCTCTCTTTCTCGCTCGCCTTTCCTCGTCGTCCTTTCAGCTCCTCCCTTTTGTGCCAAGGAAATTTCTAACCGACGAGTAGAATTTCCAAGAAAACGCACGGTTTCCTTGATTCAACTGTTCTTCGCGTGTATCGTTTTCAAGATAAACCAGATTGTTTGAAGTTTTTACACGGTGGATTTAAGGAAACAGAAGGGTAGAAAATGTGAGGTAGATGTAACAACGTAATTAATTCAATTTTATTTACAAAAGTACAATTTTATACAGGACGTTTAAAATTTACATAATACTTGGCCGATTCGCGATAAATACACGCGCTAGAGTTTACATCTACGAATTTTTACAGCGACTAATTGTGTACAAAATTTATACAAATTGTTTGGGAATGATTAAAGAAATGTTTGCGATGAGAATGATATTGATGATCGTCGAAGAAGATGGAATGATCGCAGGTTGCATGAAACGATGCTTGATAGTATACAAAAATTAATACCCAGTTATAAATATTAAAACACACAAAAACTTAGATCTTACGGTCCTCTAGCAGTTAGGAAGAGAGCAATTTTCGAAGAACTCTCGTATGATCAATAGTCATTTTTCTACTTTAGTAATAATCGACAAGTTCTCGTCACTAGGTACAACGATTTCTTCTATATCAACACCCGATACTGCAACATATGTGGTTCCGTGAATACAGGAATTTTGATTACACGATGTTGGCAATATCGCTAATTCTACAGTAAATATATACTAATTTATGTAAGAATTTTCATTCATTATTGTGTAATTGTTTCGTAATTCGGACCTGATTAGGTCTGCCAATCTTTCCATTGCCTGCAAAAAAAAATACGAAAAAAGTTACTAGATGTACCAAGCAATGGTAATTTTCGCAGCTCGGTCGGTGTTAAAGTTTCCCCTAAAGTGAAATTGAATAAAACTAGAATTCGATCGGTGAAACATACCAGATCCATTTCTTCGTATGAAGCTTTAGCAAAACTCGCTCTAATAGCGTTGCACGGTTTGCCGGTATCTCTCATGAAAGCTGCACCAGGTGCCATTATAACACCTTCAGCGACTCCCCGTTGCATTATCATCTTCCAAGTGTCTTTAATACCACGTACTTTGATCCAGAGGAATAAACCTCCACTTGGCACCGTGAAGTCTGCCAAACCTGCGAACCAAAGAGTACACATGTTTCAAGTATATCGTTGCTTATCCTCTGATTAGCTTTAAATAACTCCTATTATGCATCAATGTTTCTGTGATAATAAGTAGCAACATTCGATCGTTTAAAGGAAAAAAATACATTATCACTTACAAATACAAGTATGAATAATGTAACATTTTCCTTAAGATAAAATTATAGTATCGTAGTTTTAAGCGACTGTAGTTTTTAAGAATAATAGTTATAACTTGGCGTGCAGTTTTAAGAACAGGAAGATGGCAGGGTTTTATGAGGGTGTGGCGGAGGGGAAGTCGAGGGTCAGCGATAGTTTTCCCTGCGGAAAAAAGGACTGAGTTGGAAGTCGAGCGTATCGTTAAGAGTCCTAATCATATATGTATAGTCTTGTTACCTTAACTTCAATTCTAATACATTATAATAAACCACATTTTTATATCTAACACTACAAAATGAATCTAGTTATCCCTCGACAACAAATGTGAAGTATAGAATGCATTATCTTAACTATTTCAAAATTCACCGAGACATACTTGCTTCGAATAAACGAGAAAGTATGCGGTTCGTAACTCTTTGCAGTGAAACTTTTGGAAAGCAAAATTTTTCTTTTGAAAAGAAAAAATATGATTTGAATTTGACATTTTTAGATTCTCCATGGTATAATATATCTAGAAACAATCTGTCAATTTTAAAATGCAAATTACATATGTCACCATAGCAGCGCCAATAGACTGCAAAGACTAATAATTGATTAACTCTTTTAATTCCATGGACCGATTTGGGCCGATTCAATTTACGCCCAAAGTATCTTTCGATATCTGCTTCTGCAGCTCGTTGGTTATAAAAAAATTAAAAATTTTAAAATTAAAAATTTTTCAAATTTTTCAATTAAACTTCGCATCATCCCACGTAATATTTCTAACAATACGCAAGCGTATTACGCCGGGAGCAAGAGGGTTAAGCAAACCAAAGGATTAGCAAGAACTCGAAAGAAAATCAACACGATAAGAATTTCCCCTATTTGCTAATACAATTGCTTGTACAAACCGCTCAAGTGTTTTTCAGCGAGCACAGCGATAGCGTCCCTGCGTTGCTTATAGAAACACCTTATCCTCATGAAATGCTTCATCAGACCGTCGTATCCCCATAGTTTCAACAGCTTGTACATTATCACCTAGAAACGAGCGAACGTGAACGGTGAAGAAACCGGTCTCCCCTTTTTTTCGCGGGCAACCGATAACACAACGAATCGGTGTTTATATTTCAGATAAGAGTGGACACGCGCCACAGTTGGTACAGCTTAAGCGCGCTTCTCTAATAACGATTACGCGAAGCGTGCGAAACATTCCCATATTTTTCACGCGGTTTCATCATTCCTCCAGAGGGAATAATATTTACGAGCGCAACCGCGTATCTTTACGAAGCATGCAGTGACGTGTATTTTATTAACGATATCGAGACACAATTCATCACACCCAGTCATTGTTGTCTTCGTTTGGAAACACGATCGTGACGTGTTTCACCCCCGAAAAATTTTACGAAATTTCAATTGAAACGTTTCGCGATTGATTCCTACGAAATTCCTACTCGCGAGTGGAAACAGTTTATTGTAGAATCGAGAGAGTTACATCTACGAATGGGGAGAAAATGCAGCGTTCAAAATTTGTGAAATTATAACCGAAGACGAAGGTTAATTTTCGTTAATTTTTCGATTCGCTAATGGTTATTGAAATTCAGCTGGAATACTTGGTAGACACTTGGAAAATTTGCGTCTGTAAACGCTGAAATTTTTCTCCCACTGTGTTGTTCGCGCTCTTTAACTGTCGTTTTAATTCGAACCTTGACTCTAGATCTTTGACACCGATAAATTTCAAAATTGAAACTTCGAATTCTGATCTAAAAATTTGCTTTAATTTTTGAAATTTAAAAATCTACCGTCTGCCACGCGCGTTGTGTGTCAAAATCTGCCGCAGCGAAAGGGTTAATATTCTCCCTATCGTACGTAGATAAAATCGAGATCTGAAATTCCCGTTTTGGAAAAGGAATTTTCTATCGCAGCGTACCAACGGTGGAGAACGTTGAATTTTTCCCCAATGCGAAAACCACCCTACCAACCTGTGATAACGTAGGGGCGTGAAGGTGGCTGCTTTGCAAATGTAGCTCGATGCTGGCTATCAGCGGAGCCGCAGCCGTGATGAAGCCTAATCTGAGACCGCTGCTGATCACTTTGGAGAAAGAGTCCAACCTGATCACTCTTCCTTCCGTGTCGAGCGATAAGAACGACTTCGGTTCCACCTGTGCGCATACGGAAGATTTTGCACATCGTTGAGAATTGGCGAAACGTTATCAGTGGCAATTATCCACCGCTGTTATTTCAACCACTCCACGCGTGGAATAACATTTAGAATGATTAATTTAGAAACGAAATGGTATTTCGAGTAATTGGTTGAAATGTTGATTGATATTCATTCGACGGTTTTATGGTTTGGACAAATTTTACCGAATGTTTCGCCAGAAATTGAAATACCTCCGTGAATATATATATACTAATTATAGAACGGAATTAGAAAATCCGTTATTATAAACGAAATGGTATTACTTTTTGTATTTAATTGTAACATTTCCTTCCTCTTTCGAAGGAGTAGTCAAAACACTTTGTAATCTCGTGACGTCAATAACTATCAATCTCTGTAGGGATACATGTAAAAATTGTCTGTTTGTATTCGTAAACTTTGATCGGTGTTAGAAAAATCTTGGTTATCTTATCTATTAACGAGGTTGTTCGACTGCTTTCGTTCACATAACACCCTCGAATTTTCCCCCGATAGGATAATTACGAATATTCACCTCGTTGAAGTGCAGGAAGTGGTAAGGATCGTCGTCGAGGATCAAGAAGTTGTATTCACAGGCTATCCTGTAGATCTCCTTCCGCCTTTCCAACGGTATAACGACGCCTGTGGGATTCGTTCCGGTCGCGTTTATGTACATGATTTTCGGCATTTTCTTCCCAGACAGCTCCCTGTTCCTCAACGTCTCCCGGAGAATTTCTGGGACCAAACCGTGCTCATCCTGAGGGATCGGGATCAGCTCCGCCTTGTGCGGCGCGACCTGTAATCGAAAAACGATTTCCTTCGAATCTACTTTGCCAATCTCTCTCTCTCTCTGCTCGTGAAAATATTCGAAGCCGGTGGGTGGATTCGGGATGCACCCTAAACCCTGTTCGCTTATTCCTTATCTGTCAACGGTGCTTCGACGTCTCGCGATTATTCAGCTCGTGTGGCTGGAACGATAACGGAAAAGCTAGTTCGTCTGATCTTCGCGACACTGGTGTCACCGGCGAAAGCGGAAAAACTCGGGTAATTAGACGACTTATCGGGAAACAGATAACTTAACCGGTAACCTTCTCTCCGAGAAAAATGAACGTTGATCTTGTAAACTGCGGACAGCGGTAAGTCTGTGTGAAAAGTCGAAACAGATTTTGTCGTAGGCTAAAAGTTTCGGATCACTGTGCGATTTTTTTCAATTTTTCGCGAATTCTTTAGCACTCGAATCAGTCGAAACGAGGTGTACTGCTGTCGATCTCCACAGCATCAATTTCTAAATTGCCAGGTGATTCCAAACTTTTCACCGTAGTATAGATATATTTCAGGTGATACTCGATGTGTCTTCTAGAATATTAACAAGAATGACCTCGTTTTTCCGTTAAATATCTATTTCTCCGTTATTCATTCTCCATAAAAAAGAGCGATAATTTGTGTCAATTTACGAAAAAAAGCTCCACTTAAAAGTCTACGACGATTTATTCGTTCGAGGATAATCGCGGATCGAGGGTAAATAAAGAGGAAATTAGCACTGACCACAACTTCCACGCCGGGATAAAAAGGATCGTGCACGAGTAGAGGATCGCCTGGGCCGATTATGGCCTCGAGAGTTTTGCTTAATCCGTCCTGAGATCCGGAGACGATCACGATGTCGCGGCTCTCCAACAAGGGAGGTGCGTGCGCCCTTCTCTGGAACTCCCTCAGGCTCTGAAACCAATTTAATATCCAATGTAGTTAAACATATTGGAGGCAATTACATTATCCCGCAGCGAGAGATAAAAAAGGCGAGCGGAGAAAGAAGAAGCGGTTTCAGAGTAAACGTACGATTATCCAGCACGTGTCGGGTATCGCTTGAGATTTTCTCTCGCGTGGATTTCATCGAATCTGACAGTGATTAACGAATTCGACGACGTTTCTATTACTCTTGTCTTTAACGTTCCGACGCTATCTCTGTTATTAAGACTGTTCAAGAGATAAATGTACTTGAACGTTGAATTACTTAAGTTTCCAACGTGAGACAGTTGTTAAACGTGCAATTAGGCATAAATATACCGGGTGTCCGAATTTTTTTTGGATGAAACTTTGTCAGAATGTTCTATGAGCATAGTAAAGGAAAAAATGTCATATAAACGTGGGCCGTTTGAAGCTTTATTAAAAAGTTGTAGCGATAACAGGAAGCACGAAGGGAATGGTGATGGATTTTGAGGTTATGTTTGAAAATAGGTTATATAAACGTGAACTGCGTTTGCGATTTAAGGTGTTGAATGTAACTTCTACCATTTTGTCTCGTATCGTAGTAATCACAAATTCCTTACCATTCCCTTCGTGTTTTTATTATAACTTTTTAACGGAGCTTCGAACGATCTACATTTATACAACATTGTTTTCTTAGATACACTCGTAGAAGACACTGACAAAGTTTGATCGGAAAAAATTTGGACACCCTGTATGTATCACAGGTTGTACGTTCCTTTGGAAGCGAAATTCTCTAGGTTTTCCAACATTTTCATTCATGTTTTTATTAAATATCGAAACCTTACGCACGACAAAGTGAAGCTCGTTTCATTCGGTGTAATCGAAGTGTATTTCATCGCGATAATACTTGTAATAGAAAGTTGTTAATAATTCTCAATTTTCTGACTCGAGAGGCAAATTGTCCCGGTGAAATTCAATTTTCAGTTACCTGCAGAAGTGGCGGGTAGCCCTGAGTGGGAATATACTGCAAAGCTGCGCCCAATTCTCGCTCCTCGAGGGTGAAAGACGATCCGTCTTTAAGTTTGATGGAGATTTCTGTGAAAGGGAAGGTCTCCTCGTTTGGCATACCCTCTGCCAGCGAGACCACGTTTTTCGGCGCGGAATACGCTATTTTCGCTGCAAACACGTGTGAGAAAAAAACATCGTTAACATCACTCTTCGCCGAACTATTTTCCCATTTCCCTCTCTCCGTGAAATTGCCGTTTTCCGATAAATAGGATCGTTAATAGAAATCTCCTTACTCAGTTCTCTGGTGGTGGCCGATCTCCTCCTCTTCGAGACTTCCGTCTTAAACGACGAGTAATCCACCTCGAATTTTTCCTTCGTCTTGTGCATCCTCGTTCACTTTTCGACGAGAATCCCCTCGACTACACTTGTATCGTCCGACAGGTATACGTACCAGCGCGTTAGCGAGACGCTGAAAATTCGGCGAGTGTCGCGTATAATCGAATGGTGTTTCGGGTGCGAAACGCAACGTGAAAACAACGATCGGAAAATGGTAGGAAAAATGTTTTTTTCACGAGTCGCGGGCGGGTATGGTTGTAAACACTGTACTGAAGAAAGCAGAGAAAATAGGAGGAATAGAAGAAAAAAATGGAAGGTTTAACAGCACGTTCTTTTTCATGAAATGCCCACGGTACTACTACTATCAACACTGACAGCGCGCCTCGTTTACCCGGCTTTTATATTTAGCGATAGCTTTGGTTGCGTCAGATAACATTAACATATTAAAAAGGAATACACGTGTATTTAGATACTAGTGGCCGTCTCTATTCACCACTACCAACGCGAAATTTTCAAGGGAGAAAGAGTGAGAAGTTAGGGTGGAGGTATCTCTTTTCAGATGACGAAAACTTTCGGCGTATCGTGGATTTCGATTGTCGTTCAATGAAACAATAATAGTGTTGGTTACTCGATTGTGACCGACTGTAAACAATCCTTGTGTAATATTTTCATGTATTCGCGCAGCAATGAAATTTACGTCAGCGAATCATTTCTCGTATAAACATTCGTATTTCGGTATTGCGTGTAAGAATGATCGATCTTGTTTTCGTCCAAGGGGGATTGTTTCTCTCGCTAACGGTGAGTAGAGAAAGGTGGTTGTTGAAGTTTTTACCGACGACCGACGCTTCGTCTTAGGGGGATTTTTCGAATTTTTCACAATCGTCACGCGGCGGGGAAAAATTAGGCAAGGCGAAAATCCCGCCGGAAAACGGGGATTTTCGTGAGTGAATCACAGAATCAGACACGCGTCACAATCGCGTCTGACGAAAGATTCGCAATATCTGTCGATCATGATGTAACAGTTGAACGTTACACAGCCATGAATGAATGACAAAAATGACAGTGACACTGACCCGCTTCCGTCCGACGACAATGTCACGGGAGAATTTGTTTTCCTTTTTTTTTCCCCATTTTCACAAAGGAATCACCAATTCCCGAAGCTAACTGAACGTCATTCGAAAAAAAGGAGGGGAAAAAAGGCAGAGAAAAAAAACGTAATTATCGTTCTCGTAACACCATGATTGCAATCGAACTGGACGAAAAAATTGGATCGAAACTGCATTACTCCGGGACGACAAAAAAAACTAATCAAATCGAACTAGCCATTTATTGCTAAAACTCCAATATCGAAGTAAAATCCAATATAGCTACAAGTAAAATTGAACGGAATACCAAAGTTCCATATAAAATTTCTTTTTTCTTTTTCCCTCTCTCCGTACTTCACGACGATGTATACATATGTACAATATATTCATGCTCGTCTTAACGAGATTAATTATTCGTTACGAAATTAGTCGCGAACACGTGTCGTCGCCTTATCTATTTCGGAAGAGAGAGAAAAGCGCATCTTCGCTTCTCGGTTACATCTTTCGTACCTAATCTGTTCGAAATAGCACCGGGCCG